CAATCCCGGGCCTCGGATGCGACCGGGGTTTGCTGCGGCCACAACGCAGAGTACTAACCACTATACGATCACGGCGAGCTACCGGGACGCCACGAGGAGCTGGCGACCGAGCGTCGTACTTGTCGTCTAGATGACCGCTGCCCTACTTTCCCGAGACCCCATGCTCAGGGACTTCTGGCCCTGTCGCCGACCAGAATGGGAGTACAGGTGCCGTGGACGCCCCGACCCGAAGTCTTTGCCGGGCGGTCGGCAAGGCCGCGGGCAGGGGTCGCGAACGTGCTTTGCGAACTGAAGGATTCCTACCGGGCCTGCACTGAGGGAAAGCCTGGGGTACACGGAGGGTGTCCGAGGTGCCTCTCACGCTCACCATGCCCTGGCGGTCGCTCTCGGAATGCACTCTGGCTGGGACGGGAAAATCAGTGCTGACCAAGCCGCACAACTTCCTTGAGGCGCTGGGGAAGTGAAGCCCCTTGCGCAGCCTCAGCCGGGGCGAGGAAGAGTGCAAACCTCAACTAGGAAAGCATCGCAGACCAGAGCGCATGCGTGCACTCAGGGCCGTCTAGGCTGGATATGGGCGGGAACCGACGAAGACAAGTTGATGATGCGACAAGGGGGCGGGGCTTTCAATAGAGAAGAATCCAGGCGCGGGAACCTGACCACGGGTTCCCAGTAGCTCGCCGTGATCGTATAGTGGTTAGTACTCTGCGTTGTGGCCGCAGCAACCTCGGTTCGAATCCGAGTCACGGCATTGTGGAAACAGTGGCACGGCAGGAAACCCCGTGTTTTAGCTTTGTCTCCTACTTTTATCTTCAGTCTGTAACAGATTCCAATCCTCCGTGACTGTTGAAAAAGACACTGTCACTGCTGAATCCGACCTCCAAAGGTTTGCGGTTCCTCTGGGACAAGTGGGGCTGGGCGAGATCGTGGAGACAAAGCACAGGCCCCGCAAACTCTGGAAAGAACCTCCTGGTGATGGAAAGAAGACTGCGCAGAGCAAGTGACCCATGGGGTTAGATTTAAAACCAGGGTAGGAAGGCGTCACGCAACCAGGATAATTTCGTGTGCTTGTTGGAAGTCTTGAAACGGAACTGTGGTAATTCATTATAAGTCTCCCCTCTGGCTCTTGTAAGTCCCCACCCCACACTGTCTTTTTAAGGACCTGTTGAGAGAATGAGTACGAGCAAGAAGGGATGGGAAACGACCCCCTAGGGAGGACCAAGAAATGAGCTGGAAACGGCAGACGGATTTCTTACCGCCTGGGGCAGAGGGCGAGGGGCGCAGAGCGGGATTCCATTGGTGCCGAGCAAGACCCTCTCGGCAGCTCTGCGAGGGGAGGCTTGGTTGGGGTGACGCTGCAGGGACCGGCGGTCGCTATGCTCCCCTGTCAGACACCCATGGCCCGTTCTCCAGCAGGTCGCTCCGGCCGGGTTCTAGGCGCCGAGCGGGACACGAAAACACAGAACCGGTCGCCACTGCAGTCGCGGGACGCAGCACAGGTGGGCACCCGGCAGGACCACTGCAGAAGGAGCAGCCAGGACAGTCGGGGAGGAGAGGCTGGAAGTGGGTTATAGGGCAGGAGGGCCGGGCGGGTGGGAGCAGGGAACTCTTTCTGTGGTCCACCAGGTTCTGGCGGAGTCCACACCCGTGGTTAGGGCCGTGCTGGGAAGGCAGCAGTGCGGGGACCCCATGAGGAGCGCCCTCTTCAGGGTTCGCTGGCAGAGTTCTCAGAGCCTGGAGATGGGAGTCCCCCAGACAGTCAGCTCCGGTCAGCCCTATTCCCTGCTGTCCCCGTGGCCTCCCGCAGACTGCCGCCGCACTCACGGGGAGCCCAGCCGGTGTCACTACGGCCGTTGCGAATGCGTTAAAACGGAAGCGACAACCCAAACTGGAGAGAGTGCGATGCGCCTGCGCGTTCTGGGCAGCGTCAGCCTGGAACCCCGCCCCATAAGTGGGTCATTTAGTGACGCGCAGACTAGGAAGACCTATGACTGTTGAAGGGGACAATCAGAAAGCGCGTCCTACAGGTCCCCGGTAGCTCGCCGTGATCGTATAGTGGTTAGTACTCTGCGTTGTGGCCGCAGCAACCTCGGTTCGAATCCGAGTCACGGCATTGTGGGAACAATGGCACGGCAAGGGCGTCTTTTTAGACTCGGCAGGGGGCATTTTCCCCGCCTGTTTGTTGG